TTAAAAAAGACAACATTTATTAAAAGCTACAAAGAACAGGAAATAATGGAAAACCATGACTGCTGACGTCCTAACTGGACACGAAACATGCAAGATGTACACATAAGAATTATCACTTTTATTTTACAAGTACCCATTCTACATTTTATTGCGAGTTTTCATATCGATATTTTCGATCCGACAAATTTCTGTTTCAGTGCAATATCCAATTGAGATTGTAGGCGTAAATTCTTCAGTCGGAATCTGCGTGTGATATAATGAATAACGATTAGGAATGAAAAAGTTTAGAGCCGAGTTCGAATTCCAGTCAAGTTTGTTAGATTCACTTAAGCACAAATGACATAGGGTAAGGTATGAAACCCATCTCTTCGCCTACCAGCTATGGATTAAGTAGTATATGGAAAAATCAATGTTATTCTCAAAAATGGTTAAGACAATATTCAATCAAAAAGAATTATTATTGCAAAAAAATGTTTCGACTTCAAATAAACTACAGTGGGTTGATAAGTCGTAAAAAACAAAGGAATGAATCAATCAATTATTGCTTGGTGTAGTTTGTCACAAGTCCACGAGTATGATATAATAAATAATTATTGAACTTAATACTTAATAATAATAGTCAAACAGAATAGTTTGTTAACCATTACTTCACGTCGAGGAGCCCAAAAGATTACTTTATTATTTTCTCGTTACATTCCCTGGTCCCGCCAAGGCAAGATTTCGCAGCAAGAACACGCCATGCCACTTAAATAGTAGCAAACTACCCACATTCCCTCTGTATGCCATCGGTGAGAAATAAGTTACACTCGAACAGCTTCTTCCCGTGAACCACTTCCCTGTGGAGCCGACTCCCAACATGATGTTTCTCCCGATCTCTACAATCTTAACCTGTTCAAGGCCAGGCTTAACCGTTATGTTCCACTCTGATACACACAAATGGCCCGCAAATGTAACCCTCTACTTCGAGTGGCCCCCGGGCCTTGTAAAGGGTAAACCCCACTGTAAAAATCCATCGCATTTTATTCGCTGATTGGTACAACTTGAGATTCATTCGCTATCCATATAATGTTCTTTATCATGAAATATTTATTCGCAAGAGAAAAAAAAGAATTATTCTTACAATCCAAAAACTGTTTAGGTTTAAAAAAAAAAACACAAATGGTTGATAAGTCATAAAAAAATCAATCTTTACTGCCATGGATCGCTTTCCCTTTGCTTTCCTCACGAGCTGAATTCAGAATTGTCCTTCTTCTAGGCTGGTTGCCACAAAACGCTAGAGATCCCAGTCTGCCTTGATATTTAATTCATATCTAGACGGAAAAGAAACGATTTGATTCCTTTCTCACGAGTATTAATGCAATATGAACACAAAATTGTCTCAGGAGGAATTTGAACTCGGCTTGCCGATTCTATTTTACACTGTGCTAAACTTACTTCACCCATAACAGCATCGTGAAAATAATTCGAACGAAAATCGGAAATAAAAAAAAGAACTTTAACTTAATCATTTAATATTTAGCTTATTCATGGAAGCAAGATAATTCAACCAACCTTCCTTCTGCAAATTTTAAAAATAAGTCATGCTTTTAATATTTCAACGTGAGTTTTATTATTATTATAATTTTATAACAAATACTACAATACGAGGACATTTTTATAAATGTTGACAGTCTTTATATCCATATGGATATGAATATAGATAAATAGAATCAGTAAACCCTGGAAAAAACATGACTCCGCTTATCTCTGCGCTCTCTCCCATCAAAAGATATATTTCCCAAAATTTCACCTGACTAGCAAAACACAACCTGAAGTGATTTTTTGATTTCGTCCTGAGGTAAACGATACTTAGAGCACAAGTAGCGGCATCACTAAAATCCCGTTACAATTATTGTAAACCTTGACAAGAACAAGTTTATTGATAAATGTGTATGAGGTGTGTGCTGAAAAGTTCTCGGTTGGACTAAGAACAATGACAGACAACCATAAAAGTATTCCACATACTTTAGATATACATATTCAATAGATTTGGCCAAAGATTCTCGATTTCTATTTAAATTTTGCGCTAAATATCGTCGTCTTATTGAAACATTTACTTTAGTGAGTGGGTCAGAAACTGAGAACTTTTCACCGCCTCCTCATATATATTTATACTACTTACATTGTTCGGACTGTTGTCCTCATCTTTATTGTCACACTCACGACATTTCGGCCTTCTTCAGGTGATATATACGTTGGAATTTCGAACCGAACACTTTAGTTCAACGAAGTAGATTTTTATAATTCCACGTACCATGCCTTTGGATAAACCAGACTTAGAATTCGCTTTGATAACTCTCCAACGTTTTATTTACTCAAGTGAGGCCAAGGATTGAACTCACAACTCTTTGTGTCAAGTCATTTTTTTGGATCAATCAACCAACACTTTTATCTACTAAGCCATTAATTCGGCATAGATCCAAATTTAGTGAAACTAGAAGCAGAAAAGTAATGTTGCGGCAATTTTCTGTACGAGAAATCATTCTTGCCTAGAAAAGTGGCAATCCCAATTTGAACTTTTAGCTGGGATCGAACGCAAGCCATATACTAATGGAAAATATGAGAATACTTCAGGCGATAACCAAGTTTATATATAATACATGCACATAGGAGATTTTATCCATGCATGAGCAAATATTCTTTTCAAGTTTAACGTGGGTGGTTTATATAATTTCAAAGACGGGATTTTTGTGTGGTGTGCGTGTGAGAAAAGCGTCATTAAATGAAGTTAATGCGAACTGATATCTTTGTCAACTCTCTATTTCTCATCAACAGAAACGTAAGAATTCTTAATTAAAAAGATGTTCTAATTATTATGACGGTTTTATAATTAATGCCGTTCATTTGAAATGGCTTCAAGATATTCTGAATTGCGTCTGTTGTTTTTGAAGACAAATATTTGCGAACAGTTTCTTATTCCAGAATTTATAAAGCAAAAATTAATAATAATAACAATAATAATAATAATAATAATAATAATTATTATTATTATTATTATTATTATTATTATTATTATTATTAACAATAATAATAATAATAACCGTGCTCTGTGACAAAAAACTCCATAACATGTCTTAGGGAAATGTAGCTAAATGAAACCGTGACTAAAGAAAATGGGCCCCGAATGGATAAAGTAAACAAATACTAATTCTTAATTGCTCTCCGGGATCACCACCTGACATCAAATGAAATGTCTTGAAACTTAAAAGCAACCTGTCCTGCCGCCTATTTGCAGAAAAACCGCAGACTAGATAATATCTAGCTGTGGCCGACTGGTGCAATTACATAGTACTACACGGTACCTATATGTCGCGCATAAACTTCACTCGCAAAGGGTATTACAGGGGACATAAGCCATCAGAAGTTGTACAGAATGAAGAGGTCAGCATCCTCTGGAAATTTAACGTTTAGACTTATAGGGAAATCCAGACATATCAATCAGAAATAATTGACAATGCCTGTCTTCTGATAGGTACTGCAGAGAACCAAAACAAATCTTTGAAAACATTAGAGAGTCTGAGTAAATCCAAGGACCTTGAGACAAAATCAGAAGAATGTGGCATTTCAAGACAACAATATTACCGGTTAATATGGTGGTTTGGGGAAATATAGCAAAAGGAGCAAACAAATATGTGGATCAAATTTCTAGTAGCCACAAAATATGTGAGTTGGAATATATATATATATATATATATATATATATATATATATATAGTTGTGGAGTGCATAAATGAAACGGCCAAATATAAGCAGGCGTGTACGCGTGTGCTGGTGTGCATACGCAGGCAAGCAAATAAATAATCGTTAAATTTATGCGTAAAGTATAAACGTAATAGTTTTCAATGCGGTTATACAGAGCAAAGATATGTATCAAATAGTAAATATACGCGTACCTATTTAGTTAATACACACACACACACACACACACATATATATATATATATATATATATATATATATATATATATATATATATATATATATATATATATATATTCTTCATTACTTTCCACATCTTCTTGCATAGATTCTCTCCATGCAGTGACCACAATTACATTTTTTTCTTTTTTCATTTCTGTCTGCATAACAACTCATGAAATTTTCTGATACAAAAAATATTGCCTCTTGAAGTCTCTGGTTGAGACTTGGGAGGAATCTTGTATTACAACAAAGCAAAGGCAAATAATAATATTAATAATAATAATAATAATAATAATAATAATAATAATAATAATAATGTGATTACATCGTGCTGAGTTAAAAGCTGAGACCAAAGTTTTTATTAATGCTTACTAACTAGAAATTATCAAGCACAAATACTGAAAAATTGCGTTGTGCACAAATGCATATTCTGTGATAAATATCCAGAAACAATTGACCATATGTATCAGGTTGCACTATTTTAGTACCCACTGAATATAAAATTCGTCATTATAGAGCGGGTCAAATCTGAACTTGAAAATATGCAACTTTTACGGGAAGGAAACTGCAAGAAACTGTTATGAACATCACTCAGACCCAGTTACAGAGTTAGGAGGCAATCAAAGGCAGATGAAACAATCAAAGCTAATCGCCCAGTGACTAAGGCCCACAAGAACAAAATATACTTTCTTATTGACATGGCTGTACATGCAGATTGTAATGTATCTCTGAAGATCAAAATACAAGGATCTTGAAGTTGAAATCTCAAAAATGTGGCACATGAGGACATCAGTAATTCCAGTTGTAGTTAGAGTCCAAGGATTGTTTAAAAAAAGTTCCGATAGACCCATTGAATAGGTTCCTGGTAGCCCATACCTTAAATAAATACAAAAAGTTTTACAGACCAGTACAGCTCACACATTACGAAGAGCTTTATATGTGTAATCTTCGGTTTTTGTTTTTGTTTTTACTGTAATGAAGCCATTTTTGACCTTAGGTCTCTGACTGAGACCTGGAAGGAAATGTGTATACAACAGAAATCAAAGGAAATAAGAAGAAGAAGAAGAAGAAGAAGAAGAAGAAGAAGAAGAAGAAGAAGAAGAAGAAGAAAAAGAACAAGAACAAGAACAACAGGAATAGAGAATTTCGCTGTCCCGACAGACGAGTAGGTCTGAAAGAAAGTAAAAATATAGTTAAGTATTGCGAACTTGTCAGAAAGGCAAGAAAGTTGGGAAATACGAAATTAGAAGTGTTTTATAAAATGAAGGTGACATATTCGTAGGCAGTTGACTTGCCCATTAGTTTCGTATCTTTCTCCATGTTGCTTCCTTTATCTTTTTTTTCGGAGCCGACAGATGATTTTTTCGTCATCAGTTTCATAAATCCAATGTCAACAGATCTCGGATGAAGTACGATAAAACATGCAGGCAAATAATCTTCATTCAAGAAGAGGTTGGTACGCAACACACGCTCATGCAAACATTTCTGAAATGTACATAGTCTAATAAATCGCTAAACGTCTATATCCAGTTCTGACTTGATTGAGTATTTATGATTCATCGTCATATCTCTTGTACCATTTAATAAAACTCAAGATGATACGATCATAATGGATGAGAAAGTGCTTTTAGTCTGACTCTCCATAACTTGCAAGACTCCAGTTTCTAGGCTTAACGACTGCGTAGCATGCACAACAGCAAAAAAGAGAGTGCGAGAGAGAGAGAGAGAGAGAGAGAGAGATAGTTGGATGACGTCATATTTATTCTTCGTAGGCGCTGACGAATATATTTCCTTGATTATTTCACGCCGTATTTGGTACCGTTCTTTGTCATGCTGTCTCCTTCAAAAGAATATGTTATCAACTGCTCAGACCTTTCACTCATATCCATGGCTAAATTTTCGCTCTCACATTAATGCTGCTGTCATATCATAACCGGATGTCCCCCAAACTCGCCCCGCACTGCTCCGCCTCGGCTTTAGATGTTAGCCGATCGAGGAGAACAGAGGAAGAAGAGAATTCATGCTAATAATAAAGGGACATCATATTGCAAGGGCTGAAGATCTTGTTACTGGAAGGGGATACTCAAATCTACTTCATATTTCGCTCCGTCATTGCCAGTGTTTTAATAGAAAGCGTGACAACTCACAATTTACTCGTATCATTTTTATCGCGACATTTTAAGTCAAGGATTGCTTATGCAAATTTAAATAGGGTGATGTGTTCGTAGTGGAAAGCGAGAGAAAAGTGTATTTATGAACGCTCACGTTTAAAGTGATATATATATATATATATATATATATATATATATATATATATATATATATATATATATATATATATATATATATATATATATATATATATATTAGGGTACGTGGTTAGTTCGCATTGGGTCTCATGGTAGTTTTCATTCTGACCATGAGACCCGGGTTCGTATCTCACCCTAGCCGATTTGCCAGGAAGGAGAATTCCTGATGTTATCAAACTGGAGGGTCGATCCTAGCGTGCTGCACCTTTGGAAAGTGCCTGAAAACCATACCACGGGTTGACCCAAGTTTTGTGAATTAAATTTGATATATGGAACCCTTGAGGGGCCGTCGATAGCTGTGCTAGCACGAAGTCATCGTGGCCGAGCAATTGAGCGTGCTGGCCTTGTCCAAATTGTTGATTATGCGAGATAACATGCTCTTTCCCGGAAACCGTAACTAAGGTCTGCTCAGCATAGTTGCAGTATATACCACAGATTGAATAAACATAAAATGCGCCCGAGCAAGCGTCTGCAATAGGGATTGGCTCGCCGCCCTAGTAGACGGGTATCCTCGAATACGAATAACCAGCTATATATATATATATATATATATATATATATATATATATACAGGGTGTATCAAAAATACTTTTACAAACATTGTGGGTTGGTTCCTCACATCAAAACTAGGATAAACATGTCTACAAATCCTTCGTTTTTGAATTATTAGATTTCAAGTTGACGCTAGACGCCGTGGGACGTACAATGCAAGACACAATTCAAAAATACTTTACGAACTTTTTCTACGCTCTATGCGATACTATGAGATGTACGACGTGCTAGGGCCATTTTACGTGAGCTGATACATGGATCGTCTGCGCCAGCCTGTAGAATGTGTTCTTCGTGGTCAGGTGTACGAGCGGATATCGGTCTTCCTCGATCCATGGCTTGTGGTACCAAGGAATCTGTCTCAGGACCGCGACGACAAAGAACAGCAAAGACTGGACGATTCGGCTGCCTTCGGTCTGGAAACGCAATCTAATACAGCCGTGCAGCGTCGCGTCCATTCTCATTCGCGCGGCCGTATACAAAAATGATATCTGTCTTATCACAATATGAATATCCTGCCATAGTTAAACGGAACACTTCCCAGTTAACTCACTACTACACACGTTAAACGTTGAAGATAGACTATCCACAAATGTGCATGAATGACAAATGTAACCTAGTCTGTATAGCCATCTACAATAAACTTTTTTTTAAACTTAACACAAAAAGGATTAGCGGACATATGTTTAAATCTTAAATTCTGTGGAAAACAAACTACTAACTACTCTGTTAATTGAATCATACTTTAGTCTATGTCACTTTAACTGAAAAACATATACAACAATAAAATTTCGTGGATTTATCACATTACTAAATTCAAATAAAATTCTCACGTGACTTATTTAAACAAGAACTCTAGCGTTGTGATATTGCACGCTCCAAAATAATAAAACTGTTAATAAATAGCCTAATTTTAAAAACATCTTTCGGCCTACACTACATTTATTCCATCTTGGGGTTTACCTGTAAAAGGAAATATTACGCCCCGAAGATGATAATTTAAAAATGTCGAAAGTACTCGGCTTAGTTTCAGCAATTCTATTTGACAACTACTCAATTATGAGGATCGCGTTATTCAAAGAATTGATGGTAAGCTAATGTCTCATTAAGTCTTGTTAGTGAAGTGATTTCGCTATTAATCACATTAATATTGCTAATTAATTTTTTGTATAATTACTGCTTTTGATATATATATATATATATATATATATATATATATATATATATATATATGAGAGAGAGAGAGAGAGAGAGAGGAAAATAGAGCAAACTCTTAATAAACGTGCTATCATCAATAGAAAATCCTTCAAACATTTCGTAATTTAGACGTATTAGGTCTATTTATTTTAGTTTTAATCCTTTCAATCCACGAATTAATTTCTTGGTGGCTGAAGGACATTGATCAAGAAAGAATTAAATAAATAGACATAATACGTCAAAATTATTTAACCAAACATGCTTGGATGAAAATGTGCTGCCTATATGTGTGTGTGTGTGTGTGTGTGTGTGTGTGTGTGTGTGTGTGTGTGTGTGTGTGTGTGTGTGTGTGCGCGCGCGCATTAGATACATAAATATATCAGACATTCGGCTTTAAGGCATAAGACATAGGAAACCCAATAACTGGGTGGAGACGTCCCCCAAGTAGTGCCTCTCCCTCGAGGGAAAGCTGAGGCGTCTCCAAAAACGGCAATGCCGAGAGCGGTGAACTGTTTTTCGGATCCGACCCTATGTACGCGTGGGACACCAAATGTAAACTTTGCCTTGTTCTACATTCCGTTTATGTGGGCGTCCCAATAAATAGATGGTCAGTGAAGTCATCTAAATTTAATAAATATTTCATGAACGCTTGCAGACATTGTTTTGTCAAAATTATTTTACTTATTCCTTTCATAGTAATTATTGTATTTTTAATATTGATTACATATAATGTTATTTTTTCTGAATTATATTATGAGTAATTTTTTTTATATATATATATATATATATATATATATATATATATATATATATATATATACATACATACATCTCTCTATATATATATCTATATCTATCTATCTATCTATATATATATATATATATATATATATATATATATATATATATAGGTGTTCCAAAGAAATATACTAAAGTTTTGACTTTATAAACATTCATTTAATTTCATTTAATACATAATTTTAACCGTTAATAATTGTAAATCAATAAACATTAATATTTCCTAATTTTAACCATTAATTTTGTTTTCAAATATATAAACACTGCATTATAAGTGTTTATATGGCCTGACGAATGCGTTTAGCATGAAACAGTTCAATATCGATTTTTTATATATACCTACGATCTATATCTGTACATTATTTACATTATTCGGACTATTGTCCTCATCTTTGTGGCCATATTTATTCCAACGTTTCGGCCGTTGTATGCCCTGGCCTTCTTCAGGTGGTTCGACATTTCAACTACCTGAAGAAAGCCGGAGCATACAACGGCCGAAACGTTGTAATAAATATGGCGACAAAAACGAGGACAATAGTCCGAATAATGTAAATAATGTACATAATACCTCATTTCAGAAATATAGACAGATACTGATCTATGCCTGATATTGAACACTTTAATCCATAAATATAGCATACTTTAAAACTATATTTATCATATATATATATAGATAGATAGATAGATATAGAGTGAAAGATGGAGGGAGAGAGATGTATGTATGTATGTATGCATGTATCTATCTATATATATATATATCTATACATACATCTCTCTCTCCTCTATCTCTCTCTCTCTCTCTCTATATATATATATATATATATATATATATATATGAACGGTAAAAAATTACTCGCAAATATATATATATATATATATATATGTGTGTGTGTGTATGTATGTATGTATGTATATGAGGATAAGAGCGTCCTGTATCTGGAATAGAGTATATATAAATATGAATAGTGTGAACGTAGAAATGAACACTGAATGGCAGTTTCGCACTTTATGTGTTCATCTGAAAGCGTAAAAATTCTGTTGTTATGTTCCTCCTAACTGTTTATATATTGTATATGACTATACTCTAATTGACACAAAATAAAGGGGGTCTTAGAAAACTTAACTACCTGCCGAGCTTGTGGATGAATTGGATGTACGGTCTTGGATAATGGAGAAACAATACCTGCATATATATATATATATATATATATATATATATATATATATATATATATATAAAGAATTAATGTATTAATCTTTAAACCGATATTTTTATTACTTCAAACGTTTAGCAGACACTTCTTATCTGAAATACACGCCCCATATTTATTTATTTATTAAACAGTGCATAATACGTCTACAGAACTGCACATTTTGAGAGGTCTTAGTAAAAAAAAATGTGTTCCCCGACAGGGATCAGACTTGATTCCACCCTTGTTGAGATCCGACATGATTTACCGCTCGCTCACGAATGATTTTTCGCCCTACATAAAGAAAGCACATTCTCTTCACTCAGACAATTTTTCTCGAGACCCCATATCAGTTCAGTTTCGTTTTCGAATATTCTTTTTGACCCTAATATATACCTCTTTTAATGAAAGCCCACCAAGTGTCTATTGGATTCATATATGGAGAGGGGTCTCAAAATAATTTATTGTCTCAAAACCTTCTTTTGATAAAAAGGACGGTTATCTTTTTGCAAAATGTAAAAGAGCATTGTCTTTACCACACAAAAACACCTTGTCCAAGTACTTGCAATAATCATCTGCATTTGTGTCAACACAGTCATCAACAGTGAAGAAATTTATAATTGTTATGCATGCAATACATCAAATGCTCAAAACATCTCCATATTTTTGTCTTCTAAATCGTGTTACTTGACTGCTTCGGAGGTACGGTAGGGATAGTGGTTAGTGGCTCAGCTTGATATAATCGGAGAGCCGAGTTCGAATTCCAGTCGAGTTCGTTACATTCACTTGGGAAAGGCAGGAATCCAACTCTTCTACCCTCGCTATGGATAAGTAGTAGGACAAACTGGGTTCTATAGCTGTGTGCCAGCCGGTCTAGAAGTTTTGGTTTGTATCTTTTAACAGCTCATCAACTTTTTATGGGTCATTTAATGCCGAAATTTTATTTTCTTGTCAGATTTGGTAATTTTCTATTTGTTTTC